CCAGGAAGAGAATCCCCATCACTTCTGGCTGGAAAAACCAGCGGGAACTGAGGCTCAGGGAGGCTGAGGCGGCTGGAGCCCCAGGCAGTTCCTTAAAGGGCCCGCGCACAAACTTATCGGACTCTCTCCCTCTAAGCTTGGAGGGGAGGCAGCTCGAGGGGCACCAGAGACATACAGGGAAGAATTGAGCTGTTTGACACTGGAGCGAGGGCTGGAGAGGGGGCTTTCTCCAGGACAGACCAGCTGTCAGAGGCCTTTGTTCCTTTGGTGAACCCTTCCCGGGGACGGCAGACAGCTGCAATATTGGAGACTCCAGCAACCTGGCTCACACTGGTTGCCCCGCCCCACCCAACTTTCAGGCCCACCCAAGCTGTTGCCAGTTGCTTAACTATAGGATTGGCCTGTCTTGGATTCTGCTTCAGGTTTTCCTAAATTCTTTCAAACAAACAGCATCTGGTCTCAGATAGCCCCATACCTCTCATTAAGTAATACACAGAAACAAACACAGGGAGGCAGCCAAAATGAGGAGACAAAGAAACAGATTCCAAATGAAAGAAAAGAACAAAACACCAAGAAAAGAACTAAGCGAAATGGAGATAAGCAACCTAACAGATGTTGAGTTCAAAATACTGCTTATAAGGATGCTCAGTGAACTTAGTGAGGGCCTCAACAGCATAAAAAAGGACCAGTCAGAAATGAAGGAGGCATTAACTGAAATAAAGAATAATTTACACAGATTCAATAGTAGAGAACGTAAATCCAAGAAGCAAACCATTGATTTGGAATATAAGGAAGCAAAAAAGCCCAATCAAAACAGCAAAAAGAAAAATAAGCCAAAAAAATGAGGATAGTGTAAGAAGCCTCTGGGACAACTTCAAGCGTGCCAACATTCGCATCTTGGGGTGCCGGAAGGAGAAGAGAGAGAACAAGAAATCAAAAACCTGTTTGAAACAATAATGGCAGAAAACTTTCCTAACTTGGTGAAGAAAACAGATATACAAGTCCAGGAAGCACAGAGAGTCCCAAACAAGATGAACCCCAAGAGGCCCACACCAAGACACATCATCATCAAAATGCAAAAGGTTCAAGACAAAGAGAGAATCTTAAAAGCAGCAAGAGAAAGGCAGCTAATTACCTACAAGGGAGTTCCCATTAGGCTGTCAGCTGATTTCTCTTTTTTTTTTAATCCTCATTCGAGGACATTTTTTCATTTTTTGTACAGACAGAGTGGGCGGGAGAGAGAGGAAGAGAGAGAGAGGGAAACATCGACGTGAAAGGGACACATCGAGTGGCTGCCACCCGCACAACCAACCAGGGTCGGGGACAAACTGCAACCGAGGTACATGCCCTTAGCGGGAACCGAACCCGGGTCTCTCCGGACCGCAGGCGGACTGTCAGCTGATTTCTCAAAAGAAACTTTGCAGGCCAGAAGGGAGTGGCAAGAAATATTCAGAGTGATAAAAAGCAAGAACCTACAACTAAGATTACTCTATCCTGCAAAGCTGTCATTTAGAATCAATGGCCATATAAAGACTTTCCCAGACAAGAAAAAGTTCAAGGAGTTCATCACCACCAAACCATTATTATATGAAATGATGAAGGGTCTTTTTGAAGAAAAAGATAAAATATATGAACAAACAAAATGGCAATGAATACATATCTATTGACAATGGAATCTACAAACAAAATGAACAGGCACAACAGAAACATTCTCATAGATACAGAACATTTTGTTGGTTGCCAGATGGGAGGGGGGTTGGGAGAATGGGTGAAAAAGGTGAAGGGATTAAGAAGTACAAATTCACTGCTAGATGACAAACCTCAAAGGGAAAGGGGTTGGGGGGTGGGAAGAAATAAACCAAAGAACTTATATGCATAACCAATGGACACAGACAATAGTGTGGGAAAAGGTGGGAGGGGGCGGGAGTAGGGAGGAGAGGGGTCAATGGGGAAAAAATGAGGAACATCTGTAATTCATTCAACAATAAAGATTTTTTAAAAATGTCCTCCGGTAAGGATTTAAAAAAAACAGTCAATTTTTTACACACAAACACACACACACACACCACATTTTATTGCTACAAGACTTATAAACATGACTACAAGTACTGTAGAAAGAAACAGTAATAACCCCTAGCAAGGTAGCTCAGTTGGAGTGTCATCCCATGCACCAAAATGTTGTGGGTTCGATTCCAGGTCAGGGCACAAACCTAGGTTGCAGTTCGATCACCGTTTAGGGCACATGTGGGAGGCAACCAATCAATGTTTCTCTCTCACACCAATATTTCTCTCTTTCCCTTCCTCTCTCTAAAGTCAATAAAAACATTCCTCAGGTGAGGATTAAAAAAAAAAAAAAAATAGTAGCAAGATCCAGGCATTATGCTAAATTCACCTACTATCTAAGTAACTACACCTCAGGCTCATTAGTGTCACAGCTTAATTCAAATTCACACCTCAGCAAAATTACAAATACTCTAGGTCTTGGACCTTCAGGGTGACATTTACATAGTTGAAATCTTGAAAGTTAAAACCCTTAAATGCCAAAGATTTCTCATATATCTATATACCACATGCTCACCTTTGTAAAGATCTGAGCTCTCAGCAGCGTTAAAAAATTTTTAACTCACTTAATATTAGGCATCTATAAAGATCATTTTTCACCTAAAAATGAAGTACATGTATGTGCAATCTGTCCCATAGAACGAGGAATGGTCCAGAAAGAACTAATAACAAAAAATACATACCTCACAAGGATGCTTAAAGGATCAAAGGGGAATAATACATGTGAGGGAATGAATAAATAATAAAGCACCATACAAATGTTAGTAGTAGCCCAGCCGGTGTGGCTCAGTGGTTGAGCATCAACCCATGCACCAAGAGGTTGCCGGTTCGATTCCTGGTCAGGGCACATGCCCAGGTTGTGGGCCCAATCCCCGGTGGGGAGGCATGCAGGAGGCGGCCAATCAATGTTCTCTCTCATTGATGTTTCTATCTCTGTCTCCCTCACCCTTTCCTCTCTAAAAAAATCAATAAAGAAAAATAATTTTTTAAAATAAATGTTAGTAGTAGATGGTAATATTAATAAAATTACAGTACATTGTACACTTTAAACTTACATAACTTTATATGTCAATTATGTCTCAATAAAGGTGGGAAAATATAGTAAAATACTGTAGAAATCCTCTCTTTTCAAAGAATGAAGGTAGTTTGTTAGTTGGCTACTTAGAGAAGTCAATTAAAGCAAGGAATCCTGCAAAATGCTAATATACATTATAACCATTTTGTTTTCATTTAAATCATGTATCAGCATAATTCGTTCACCAATCCTGTGCAGGCCCAAGGTCTTATCTTTGAGTGGTGATATGCTGTCTGGAATTCCAGTCTTTCTTGCCATAAACCACACCCACAAGGCATCATTTATATGTGGCTGTTCCAGTTGTTTCAAAATACAGCAAAGGCTTCAACACAAATGAAATAATCAGAGAGCAAGTTTCTTCGTACTTTTTATAATTCCTTCCAATGTTTTGCACTTATCTTGTAAGCATCTAATTCCACAGCCAGTTTCTAAAAGAACTCGCTTTTCTCATTTTTATTCAGAGCACTCAACTTAGTTTTTACAGAAATAACTCCCCTTTTTACACCAAGATTGTTGCATCAGTTTACAGAATATTTAATAACACATGCACCCAGCATAAGTGAGTTTGGGAACAAGCACAACTGGCTCTTAATAAGTAAATGATTGACTTGTGGATGTAAAAGTGCACAAGTAGCCCTGGCCGGTTTGGCTCAGCGGTTAGAACATCGGCCTGCGGTCCGGAGAGACCCGGGTTCGGTTCCCACTAAGGGCACGTACTTCGGTTGCAGTTTGTCCCCGGCCCTGGTTGGTCGTGCGGTGGCAGCCACTCGATGTGTCCCTTTCACATCGATGTTTCTCTTTCTCTGTCTCTTCCTCTCTCTCCCTCCCACTCTATCTATACAAAAAATGGAAAAATGTCCTCGGGTGAGGATAAAAAAAAAAAAGTGCACAAGTATCTGCGCTGCTGGGTAGCTCAGTTGGTTAGAGCAGTGGTTCTCAACCTCCCTAATGCCACAACCCTTTAATATAGTTCCTCATGTTGTGTGTGGGTGTATCTGCATGTGGGCGGGCCACCTGGAGATGGATGGAGGAGTGGGATCTGGGTTCCTAAGACCATCGGAAATATGTGTTTTCCAATGGTCTCAGGCGACCCCTATGAAAGGGTCGTTCAACCCCCAGAGGGGTCACGACCGACAGGTTGAGAAGCACTGGGTTAGAGCGTTGCCCTGATACACCAAGGTTGCAGGTTTGATCCCGGGTCAGGGCACATACAAGAATCAGCCAGTGAATGCATAAATAGGTGGAACAACAGATTGATGTTTCTCTTTGTCTCTCTCCATCTTCCTCTGTCACTCTCTCTCTTTCTCAAATCAATAAATAAAGGGGTAAAGTGCATAAGCATCACACTGAGAAGCCTACTAGCCCCAGGCCCCATACTGGGAACATGAGTCAGTAAGTTTTACCAAGTATAGGGCTAACACTGGTTTATCCATCTGGTTGGTAATTAGCTGTCAATTTAAAAAGACTTTGCCAATATAGTTCAGGTCTCAAGCACAGCTCACTAAGAAGAAAGTTGAAAATGGTTTCCCGGTCACATGTAGTATATATGCTACCTTTTGTATTTTTCTTCAATCATATATGATACACTTTAGAGACAATAAAGTCAATGAATAAAAAAAACCCACAAGAATACTGAAATGAAGCAACAGAAAATGTATAAATAGAACATGATAAAATAATCAGAGTATTTGATTCCTGACAAACTAAATGAGTCAGTAAAAGGCATTTTAAGCAAATTACAATAGCCCTATATTAATTTTTAAAAACTGATGATCCACCTTTAGAATAGCCTGTTAACAGAATGAGACAGAAGCTTGTGCATTCATTTTTCTAATCAGGAGGGGAGGGTGATGTGAGAACTTACTTATTTCACTGGAAACCTGGTTCAGTTTATCCTGTGACCTGCTGATAAGGACAAGCTTCATTCCACACTTCGCTAACTGAAATGGTAAAAGAGACACCAAACAGTTGAATCATACCTGTGCATTTCATTTGAAAACAGACATTAGATATATTCTCATTTTAAGAAAACCTGACCATAAGATAATCCAAATTAAAAAACAAACAAATAAGCCTAAGTGCAATGAATGGACAATCCAAAATGAAGACTATACAAAAGGATCCCCAAAGGGGCATCTTTTAAATCAAGCTCGTATATAAATGTCAAAGGGTTTTAGTAGGAAGACTGTTACTTTTCATTTTCTATCCATCTACTCTGTATGAGTGTTTAAAATCACAATTATCTATCGCTTCTATAATTTAATAGTTAACCTTAAAAAATGTTTTTATTTAGACTGCATACATAAACACTGGAGGAATGGCAAAGAAAACTATAGTTAAAATGTTAGGAATTCCTAAAAATAGAATCTATCTTAAATTTTTATTTATGCATTTTACTTTATAGACAACAAAGGCAAACTAAGAAAGTTAATTGGATAAATCAATAAAGATTTTCCTGAAGAGCACCTTCTGTGTACTACCTAGCACTGTATAAGTGCTGCATAGCATGAATAAGATTTACAGGAATGTGGTTTCTACTCCAGAGATGCATAAATATAGGGGCAGAGGAAAAACACTAACATCCACAAAAGTTTTCAGTGAACTATTCCAGACAGTATATAAATGAGCAATAAATTAGCTGCTATGAACTATTAGTGATTTACTAAACTAATATTCCAATCTTAAATCCTAAAGTTGGTTTTTATTAAGTAATAAGTGATATTGTAAATGAGAAGATATAGAACATTTTTTTAATAAAAATAACAAAGTTGGGCAATAATTTGTTAAATTACTCTGCTGTAAAACCACTAAAGAACCCATGAGTCCAAACTGATATGCTGTTGTTGGTTTTTTTCAATTAACAGGGGAGGGAGGATAAGGGATAGCTTTTATTTGTAGAAAAACAGCATCTAATAAGTGTAGAAGGAAAGATATCATCAGAAAATTGCCATTTTTAAACCACCACAGTAATAACTAATAGAGGCAAAAATCTTCAATGGATGTTAAAACCACTGGGTGAAAAATTGTTGGGAAATGGGATATTTATACAGTCTCAAAGTACCACCCTACATATTACTTATTCATTACAAAGGGGAAAGGTACCTTTATAATAGAGAATTATGGTGGGCAGCCTTTGTCTTAACATAATAATGAAACAAGTAGACTTCTTGTGCCACCTGATAAGATAAAGTCAGGACACAATAGCACCTATGTGGCATTCCTGCTAAAAAACATTTAACCGGAATCTAATCATGAGGATACAATCAGACAAATCCAAATTGAGAAACCTTTTATAAAACAACCGGCCTGGATTTTTTTTAAATGCCAGTTACAAAAAAACAACAACAACAAAAAACACAAAAAGCTAGGGAACTCTTCCAGTCAAGAGACATGACACCTAAATGCAATGCATAATCCTTAACTGGATGTGGACGCACAAATCAAAGAGCTATAAGAAAGGTTTGGGGGACAATGGGGAAATTTGCTTATGGGCTGTGTGTTATACAAATAGTATTGTATCAGGTTGAACTTTCTATCTATGACCACTATACTGTGGTTATAAGGGTGAACATTCTAAGTCTTAGAAAATTCAGGCTGAAACATTTAGGGGTGAATTGCTATGTCTGTAACTCACAAATGGTCCATCCAAATTATAATTATAATAAAGAACATTCAATGTAGAAAATGATAGTAATTGATGAATCCAAGTGAAAGGTATATATGGGTGTTCATTATATTCTTCTTGCAACTTTTCTGTAATTTTGATATTCAAAATACAAAACTGGGAAAACAAAGGAGGATTAAAAAAAAAAAAAAAACCCTTGGGACTGACATATTGGAGAGGCGGTAGACCTGCCAGGATCCTCATCACAAGTGGGCAGTGTCACAGGCTGTGGGTGCCTTTGAGGAACTGGGAGGCTGGGAAGCTTGCCTGAAGAGTACTGTCAAGGTTCCCGATTTGTATGATGGTCTTCAAACTATTATGGTTTCCTATCCTTTTATTACATTACAGAAAATTTGAATCCTTTGCCTTTGTCTGCCAATATCTTTCTGTTGATCACAGTCCTTCTTATGAAAGTGATACTCTAAACTGGCCTAGAAATATAACCTATATAATAATACATACACCCTTTGGAAAATAGTTCAAAACCAAGGACTGTCCAATACATGCAAATAAAAAGAGAAACTAGACTGCCTTCTCTTAGTAATATTTTTTCTGAACTATCTCCTCAGGCAAGGGCAACAAACAAACAAAAATCAACAAACGGGGCTACATCAAACTAAAAAGGTTTCGTGCAGCAAAGGATATCATCAACAAACAAAAAGACAACATACTGAATGAAAATACATATTCCCCAATGATACATCTGATAAGGGGTTAATACCCAAAATTTATGAAAAACTCATATAACTCAACACCAAAAAAATAAGCATTCTAATTAAAAAACTGGAGGACCTGAATAGACACTTCTCCAAAGAGGATATACAAATGTTCAATAGACAAAAAAGATGCTCAACATCATGAATCATCAGAGAAATGCAAATTGAAACTACAATGAGATAGCACCTGACACCTGTCAGAATGGCTATCATCATCAAATCAACAAACAAGTGTTGGCGAGGGTGGAGAAAAGAAAACCCTCATGCACTGTTGATGGGATTGCAGACTGGTACAGCCACTATGAAAAACAGAACGGAGGTTCCTAATATAATTAAAAATAGAATTACTTTATGACCCAGCAATTCCACTTCTGGGTATATATATGAAGAAATCCAAAACACGAATTCAAAAGATATATGTACCCCTATGTTCATTACAGTGTAATATGTACAACAGCCAAGATGTGGAAGCAATCCAAGTGCCCATCAATACATATGTGAATAAAGAAGATGTGGTAATGTACACACTGGAATATTACTCAGGCATAAAAAAAATAATGAAATCTTATTTGCAACAAAATGGATGGACCTAGAGTATATTATGCTAAGTGAAATAAGATAGACCAAAAAAAACCAAATACCATATGCTTTCATTTACGAGTGGAATCTAAAACATAAAACAAAACAAAAACAGACTCATAGATACAGAAAACAAACTGAGAGTTGGCAGATGGAAAGGGGCTTGAGGGGAATGGGTGGAAAAGGTAAAGGGATTAAGAAATACAAATGGGTAATTATAAAATAGTCATGAGGATGTAAAGTACAGCATAGAGAATATAGTCAGTAATGTTGAATTAACGAACTATGTATGGTGCCATGTAGGTACTGAAATTATCAGAGGAATCACTTAAAATTATATAATTGTATAACCACTATATTGCACACCTGAAACCAATACAAAATAATTTTAACTGTCAACTGTAACTGAAAAAATAAAATGTAAACAAATAAATAGAAAGCAAAAACTGTTCATACTTATACAATATGAAATAAAATTACACTGAATTTTTCACATTTCCAACTTACTCATTTTTTTGTTTGTATTTTTAATACCAAAAAAAAAAGGTCTTGAAAATGACCTACCTCTTCTGCATATGATTTTCCAATTCCATCAGTACTACCAGTGACAACTGAGAAAAGAGAAAAAGGAATAGTTTAGTTTAAGAATTACAATGACGATCTGATCACACATAGTTAGGAGCCACCAATTAAAGACTAGAGGACCTGTGTAAGACTTTGATGGAAATTTGAACCACCTGGAGCAATACCAGTGGTTCAAACTGAGCTCTGAAAACCCCCCACAATGGCTAAAATGAAAAAGACTGCAATACCAGTTGTTAATGAGGATATGAAGCAACTGGAACTCTCATATACTATTGGTGGCACTGTATTTCTGAAGTGTAATCATTTTGGAAAAACTATTTGGCATTATGTCCAGAATTAAACATATGCCTACCCTATGACCTAGCAATTCCCAAGAGGTAAGACTCTCATGGTAGCTTAATTCATGCATAGTAGGTAAACATGCCCCAATAGTAAGCTACAGGAAAATAAGTATATTGAAGTACATTCACACATGGAATACTAATTAGCAGTAAAAAAGAACAAATTACTGATATATGCAAAACATGAACAAATCTCAGACATGATGTTGAGTGGAAAAGCCTGACATAAAAGTATATATGCTGTTATGATTCCATTTATGAGGGTAAAAAAGGACAAAACTAATTTATGATAATACAACTCAGAATATTGGTTACCTCTGGGTAAGGGAGTAGATAATAGTGAAGGGGCAGTACGGGATACTTAAGAAAATATTCTCCATCTTGATATATATATATATATATATATATATATATACACACACACACACATATATATATAATTTCACTGAGCTGTATACACTTAAGTACACACTTACTGTCTCTGTTATACCTCAATAAACTAATTTTAAAAAATTATAGGTAGTTGCCCTGGTCGGTTTGGATCAGCAGTTAGAGCGTCAGCCTATGGATCAGATAGACCCAGGCTCCGTTCCCACCAAGGGCATGTACCTCGGTTGCAGTTTGTCCCCGGCCCCGGTTGGGGTTGTGTGAGTGGCAAACAGTCGATATGTCTCTCTCTTCCTCTCTCCCTCCCTCTCTCCCTCCAGCTCTATTTGAAGATGGATGCAAAAATATCCTCGGGTGAGGATTAAAAAATATATATATTATAGGCAGTAAAACAATTGAATAACATTTTCTTCTATGAAAAAGCATATTCCTCTTGTAAGCTCAGAACACTTAGGCAGCAGACACATTTGATCATTATAATGGGTTAGGCTACACCATAGTATCTCATCTCAGAAATACTGAAACCATGTTTGTTACAAATTCAGAGCACAGCTGTCTGCTCCAAAAGGTTAGAGATGCTCCCCAAACCTCTCTATGAGTTTTTACAAATCATTTCCAGAGTATGGAAAATTAGTAATGGTGTAAATTAGGAGTTTCTTGTATTTGTTTCAAAACCACTACTTTCAAATTCCATGATATGGCCTCTACTTTTACTATTCAGAAGTATATCAAACACGTCCCTATTCTTCCTAGCCATGTCGTTCATAATCTTAGATTCTCATCATGCTCCTGCTTGGCCTTCATCTTTCCAGTTTCAAATAACTTTTTAGAATTAAAAATGGTCAAACATATCCAAAAATAAAGAGAACAGCGTAACAAACTCCCATGCACACGTGCCCCAGCTTCACCCATCATCAACCTGAGTTTAATCTTGCCTTATCTATATCCCCACCAGCTTCCTCCCACCTCAGATTATTTTTAAATGAATCCCAAACAGTACATCACTTCATTCATAAGTATTTCAGTATGTATGTTATTAAAAATAACCACAATGTCATTAACATATTCCAAAAATGTAAACAATGATTCCCTGACATCAAATGTTCAATCAGTATAGAAATTTCTTCAAAGTTTCAAAAAACTTCTAATAATTTGGTCAAATCTGGATTCAGTAAATTCCACACCTAAAATTGGTTAATGTCTATTAAACCTCTTTTAGTCTACAGGTTCTATCTATCCATCTATCTATAAATCTAAATCTATTTATCTATTTAATCCCCACCTCTCTCCCTCTCCCCTCCCTCCATTTTCTCCCTCCCTTTGTTTCCTCCTTATTTGTTGAAGATATCAGGCCACATGTTTCACTTTCCCAGCCTGGCATTTGCTCATTGCATTCTCCTGACGTCACTTAACAAGTCCTTCTGTCCACCAGTGGTTGGCTATAGATGCTTGATCAAATTCAGATTTGATTTTTGGTAAGAATACTTTACAAGTAATTATGCATATTTGCACCAGGAAATGTATTTCTAGTTGTCTTCCTTTTTTGCTTTATTAGCAGCCATTGATGACATATTTCATCAGAGATTGCAAAATGGTAATATTTAAATTCTATCATTCCGTCTTCATTTATTAGCTGGAATATTTCCATAAAGAAATGACTCATTAATTTTTAGTTACAATGATACAGAATTTGCATGGGAACACAAGATAAATGTTTCGTTTTTTCCTCTTTGTTTTCAAAATAAATTGGTTTCCTAGCATCTTCCAAAGGTAATCCCTGTGTTTTTATTATTGTAGTTTTATTTATAAAAACATTATTAATATATGGATTTAAACATTTATAGTAGAACCAATATGAAAATAAGCATCATATGAAAGTTTCTCCAACCTCACGATCAATTCAACTGTATATTTCTGTAACATTTTATCTCCTGAGTATTTTGTAGGAGCTGAGGAGTATATGGGGACCCAAATTTTATACTATATTCCTGTTACTGATTCACTAATGTTTCACACATGAAGGATAAACATCTCCTAATGTTTCCAATTCTCTCCTTTTTCTTCTGTGATAAATGTGTTGCTCTCTCCAAGATCCCCAGGACCTCATCTCTTCTCCTTTTCCTTCAAAGCCTTGTTCAAGCTCCACTAACTCCACTCTTCCAGATCACTTCAAACAAAGAAAACCTCTCTCGCCTCTCAACTCCCACAGCTCTGTACATGCATCCTCTTCTGGCACTTACGACTCTACTTTGAATTGCATTTCCTCACATGTACATGCCTTAATTCTATCAGATTCCAGGCTCCCTGTTATGTGACATGCACAAGGTAGGTGCTTAGTAGACATTTGATGAATGCATGAATGATGCTCAGCAGTTTGCGTTATAAACTACTAAACACGCTATTTCGACTGTCTCCTGAGAACCTGCTTTCACTAAGTTCACCACTCTACAAGTAGAGTACCTTACGCTCTCCTAACCTACCTGCCACTCATCTATCTATTTACAGTCTTTTGTACCTACATTATTCTGTTTATTCTGTACAACTGTGAAGCAAGCAAATCCTATATGAATACAGCAGTGAATCAATGTCGATATCAGATTTCTCTGATTAGGGTCTTAAAAGTCCCTTAGTAAGAAAATGCTCAAGAATTAAACGACAACAAAGTCGCTCCATATAACACATCCAGAATTTCTGGCTATGATATACACATTTCAAAAGAATATAGATTAGTGCGTGTGTGTGTATGCCTTTGTTCTCAAGTCACGTGGTAGGTAGTATGTTCGCAATAATATACAAACATAACCAAGTCATCTGCTAAACTTCATTCAATTATAAAAGTTTTACTCGAGGCAAAAAAATTTAAATTTGTTTATTAAGATATGGAGGATGGGGAGACAAAAATTGTCCAGCTTTTGCTTTTAAAATATATATTCTTTGCTTTAAAGCTACATATTCTCCAACAACAGTAGCCGAGATAGAAAAATCCCAAATAAGTTCAATAATTTTTTTATTTTTATAATATAATTTGTGATTCTCACTATTAAAATGATACCATATTGTTTGAGGAATCAACTCTTCATCATTAATTTTAGCAATCTAACCAAAGCACACAATCTTAAATCAAGAGTCTTGTGGTTGCACCCTGGCCGGTTTGGCTCAATGGTTAGAGCATCGGCCTGCAGACTAGAGAGTCCCGTGTTCGGTTCCCACCAAGGGCACGTACCTCAGTTGCAGTTTGTCCCCGCCCAGGTTGGGGTCATGTGCGTGGCAACCATTCGATGTGTCTCTCTCTCTTCCCCTCTATCCCTCTTGTTCTAGCTGAAGATAAATGCAAAAATGTCCTCAGGTGAGGATAAAAAAAAGAGTCTTGTGGTTGCTTCTGAGGTGCTGGGGGAAGGACAGAAAAGAGATTACTAATTTTTATTTTTCTTACCATTAATCATATGCAGGTACTGCCTTTCTAAAAAGGAAGTCTTTTTCTACTTTTGAAGAACTCTTCATCTACTCCAGTTTCCCAAAATATCAGTGTAGCAATGCTTAAAAAAGTGTTTCCCAAGTCACTTAATATTTTCTTAAAACTGATTTTTTAAAATAAAATGTAATAGAAAACATTTACTTGATTACTATTTACTTAATTATTTGATAATTATAAAAGACCACCAGTTTCAATTAATATAAATAGAATCTTAGTGTAAAATGTGTATATATACATACCTATTAAGTTTTTTAAAATTATTTTTTCTTTATTAATTTGAGAGAGAGAAATAGAAACATCAATGAGAGAGAACATCAAGTGGCTGCCTCCTGAACGCCCCCCACTGGGGATCAGGCCCACAACCTGGGCATGTGCCCTGACCAGGAATCGAACCGCAACCTCTAAGTGCATGGGTCAACGCTCAACCACTGAGCCACACAGGCTAGGCTAACTATTAAATTTTTTAAATGTTCATCAGTGCAGTACCTAAGATCATCTCTTGATTTTTATTTTGGGAAACAGTGATCTAAGCACTATCACCCAGATATACCTACCATCTTGCAATGAAAACCAAATGAAACAAAGACCAGCTCCCAATTATCCAAATTAGCAGTGCCTGTTTTTTGTGGTTTCGTAAAATGAAAATATTAAACTTGGCCAGTGTAGCTCAGTGGTTGAGCATTGATCCATGCACCAAGAGGTCACCAGTTCGATTCCCGGTCAGGGCACATGCCCAGGTAATGGGCCTGATCCCCAGTGGGGGGCATGCAGGAGGCAGCAAGTCGATGTTCTCTCTCATCGATGTTTCCATCTCTCTCCCTCT